TTGGGGATGTGTGAAATACTGCGTTGTTTAAATTTCAAGACGTATAATAGTAGTTTGCTTTTCTCATGCAGGTTCTCCAGTTGATGATGATTGGATTTTTAATGAGGGAATCTTTATTTCAGGGGCTGATACTTCTGTCCAGCTTTTCTAGTTTCATGGTGTTGACTTGTGTGCAAGCTTGGTTCTGTAGTCTTTCTTACTAGATGATGGAGGATATCAGCATAAAGTTGTACACAGATGGGAGTTAGTATGGAAATACTTGGATTAGCTGTGTCCCAAAGAGCTTATTTTACCCCTTTCAGCTTCCTCTGTTTTGGATAAGGCTGACAGGAGTTTCTTCCCATTGGTATTTTCTTTCTGTTGCAAGTTTCTGTCTCTACTTGTGAAGAATTTGCAAGAGAAGTTATGAACCCCAGCCAAGTTGTACCACATTAGCATGTTTAAGTCATAGAATCATAGAATGGTTTAGGTTGGAAGGGACCTTAAAGATCATCTCGTTCCACCCCCCCTGCCGTGGGCAGGGACACCTTCCACTAGACCAGGTTGCTCAAAGCCTCATCCAGCCTGGCCTTGAACACTTCCAGGGATGGGGCATCCACAACATCTCTGGGCAACCTCCCACAACAACCACAACAACCTGGGCAAGTCGGTAATCCTGATGCTGCTCACACAAGGTAGTACCAATAGTCTTGTCTTTTTTTTTTCTTCAATGTGATTGGTTTTTTGTACATCTTGTTAAAAATCTTAGACCGATGCGGGCTGAAACTGAAATGTATTTCCTCAGGACTGTTGTTTGTCAAAGATGAACAAATTCTTGAATTAGAAATGCATCACAGAGGGACCAAAGAGGGACAAGTCAGATTTTTTTTTTTTTATTATTTTATTTGTTTCTATGTTCCAGTGGTGTGTGGTTTTGGTTTTTTTTTCTCCTGAATAGTCTGTCAGGTGACCCATGCCAAGGATTTCCAGTGAAGTGTTTGTGAGAGCATCTGATAAATTTTGGTAGGAAGTCATCGGTCTTGCGTTTAGACATCTTGTTTTGCTCACAGAGACTTGCAGTTCCTTCAGCAAACAGCACAAGTGACATCTCCCTGACTGATGCAGCTTGCTTAAATCTGAGCTAAACAATAGTTATTTTGCATTAATAAATTAATATGACAGAACACTCGTCCTGTCTCCGTTTTTACTTTTTAGGGTTTGGGGTTGTTTTTCCCCCTTACGAAATGTTATGTTGTCTGTGGTTTCCATTAGTTCTTCTGTTAACAACTTAATGCTTCTCATTTGAGCTGATGGCCTGAAGTCAATTGTCCAGCGTTCAACACTTGCACGTAGAACATCTGTGTGTGAATGAGCCATCAGAGCGTGTGAGTACTTGGGCTCGATAAGCAGGAGGTGGGCGGGTTGCAGGGATGAGAGCGCTTTCGTGCCTTTTGCATTACTCATGGATTCCAGAGGGTATCTTAGGACAGCGCTCATGTGCTAGGCAGGAGTGCTCAGGCCGACAGAGAACGCTCTTGGGTTAAAGAAGGTAAATGTTGAGTGTTTGCAAAGGAATCCAGTGGAGGAACAAAGCCAGCGTGTGACTTAAATATATTCCTTGCAGAAATTAAGAATACTGAATGCCTAAAACTTGTAATGGCCAAGAAGCACAAAAGGCGAGAGACCTCCTTGTCTGTTAAGAAAGCACAAGTAACGCCTTGAGCTGAATTTGTCGATTACTTCTATGGGAGAAGTGATGAGGAAGACAGCTCTTTGTTTTGGAGAGCTAACAGCTTTATTGTTCATAAAGTGTTAAAAAATCTTGGATGTTCTGCTCCCAAATGCCTGGCTGTCTTGACTGCCATTAACAGTGGTTTAAAAAAAAAGGAAGCCTTAAACTCAAAATTTTCTCTCTGATTGCTTGCTTATACTGTAAAATGTTAAAACAACAAAAGTATGTGACTTCATTATTTACCTGGGTCCCTTTTTTTTGTCCTTTCCGTGTGGCTAATCGTGCAGCACATGACAGTTTGACACGAACTCACTTCATAGCTTTTCACAAAGCAATATATTTCCCACGTCCCGGAAATTAAGTTTTGTGACTTTCCTTATCATAGTTCAAGTGGGGAGAAGGAATTGTCACACTAACTGGCAAAAGCAATGTATATTATGCTACACCATCCAATTCGTGGATTTGTTTGCTTTCCAATTTGCCGCTAACGGCTGAGTCATTCTTGCTGTTATAACAAATACATATTAGATAAGGTATCGCAGCAAAACTGTTTCTCCTTTCTTGCTGTTCATGATAGCAGGAGTTTCAGGCCCCGAAGCCAAAACCAAGGACTATTTTAAAACACTGACAGTATTTTAGACTCAAATGCTTGTATCAAACACTGCTGACATCGAATATGGCTGTTCTTTATGTGAAGTTGGTGACCACGGGTGGTTCCCCAGACTTTCCAAAAAGTGCTGCTGCTCCTCTTTCTTCAGCAGTGTTAATGCTGAAGATTCCTTTCTTGATTTCTCTTCAGCAAAGAGAACAAGTACCCATTTCAGTACCTTATAAAGGAGACTGTAGCAATAGGATGAAACATTATGCTTCTCTAACTGCAAAATTATCTTCGAGGAACAGACAGCAACTAAGTGTGCCCTTGAAAAAGACCCTGTATTGGCTGGGGAGGCTTGGAAGCTGTCCTAAACTTACACCACTAGTTTTTTTAGGTCAGTGACAGATATTTAGGTCATTTACATGTCTGAAGACCTTATAGTATCTGAGCTTAACTCCTGGTTTCAGTGAGAATTGACAGTGCTGGAGCTTCTCAGTGTCAATGTTTTCTTCATTCTGAATGAGTTTTAGTAGATTTTCAGCAACAATTAATATCAAGGTTTAAATTTCATGCTACTTATCAGCAAAACCCCTTATACTAAAACTTCCCTGTGACTACAAATGATGTTACAGGTTTGGACCTGGATCTGCTTTCCGCCCCTGTCATGCCCCATGAGAGCTTGGCAGGGTTTACATGGGATTTTTTAAAGAGAGTTGGCTTTCCGTGAAAACCAGATATCTTCCTCTTCCAGCCCAGCTTCACTTTTGTTTAGTTCCTTTTTTTTCTCCATAGAAAAGGAAATTACAGAACCATTATTACATTATTTGGTATCTTTTAACTCACTGTTTTGATTTTTGTGGGTTTATCTTCCTGCAGCAAAACTGATAAGTAATGACTTTGCCAAATATTAGGTCACATTACTTGATACATGTAATATGTTTACATAATACAAGACCTGTAATGATGACTACATTTATAATTACAATAAAGGGATTGAGAAACTGAAGTGCCTAATCTCAAAATCACGATTATATTTGAATTTTGTAGTTTTGAGTACTTCTCATGCAGCGTAGTCACTTCCACCTCCTGTAAACAAAGTTTGGCTTGATTTTTAGAGGATTATTTGTAACTACAGTGTTACTATTTGGGAAATACTATGTTCTGATTTCTGCCTAAGAGGAGCTGTCAAAACATTGCTTCTTCCCTTACTAGGTTTTATATGGAAATAAAGATTTTGAAATGTTTGCTGCTATAACGAAATACATTCTGCTTATATGTAATGTACAAATATTTGACTGATTGAACTGCAAGTACTTTAAACTATTTCTCAGCCTGTTCAAAGCAGTTTCTTGCAAGCAGTGCAAACTGGAAAGCTGTGTTATCCTCCCTACTTTTTAAATGTTATCATCATTATCAATTGAAAAATACATTGAAACATTTGATTTGAATTACTTTTAATCTGATGGGTTACGTTTTCACAGTTAACAGTTTATTGGGAAAACTATTTTTGATATTTCATGTAAGAGAAGTGAAAGAGTTTGTAATGCAGAGGTCTGACTTTGAATTCTAACTTAACCAGGCTAAATCTAGACAGGAATGATCACATTTAAAAGTTTTTAGGGTTTGGTTTTTTTTTTTTAGACAGCAGACACTTGTGGAGGTTAATAATGTAATTGGATTGTTGATAGAAACTCACTTTCTGCTTTTCTTTTAAACTCAGAACTTTTTGCAGTTAGGATATTGTCGCTGCAGGCATCTGAATGCTGTGGTGGCAGTGGATGACTTGGCTGGGGAAACTTAGTTCTGAGCTCTTTCAAAAACCTGACATGATTACGGTTTCCAGCAAGTGCAGAAAGATGTGGGGATGTGCTGTACAACAAACGGGCCATGTGAGCTGATAGCTAATCAAGCTCATCAGGCAGCAAGATGGCCAGCTTGTTTCACACGCACATCCGCATGCCTGAAGGCTCAGAAACCAAAACACCTTCTAGGGGTCTTGGAAGTCTCCTGAGCTAAGTGCAGCATGGGAAGTTAAATACCCTACTGCACAGGGAATTGTTTGATGTCAGAAGGTTACTGCAGATTACTGTTCAGTGTCTGCTTTCAATTTCTCACTTCTTGACTAAAAAGGATGTTTTTGTTGTACGTGTAGTCTTGTTTCAACAAAGGTTCAAAGACCTCCTACGTACAGGACAAAACACAAGCCCAGGAATGCTCTTGGAGTGATTGAGTAAGATGGTCTTGTCTAAAAAGTCTCCTAAAAATAAAGTTTGACTTTGAGGAGGAATTCTTTGTATTGGAAACACAGGGAGAAGAAGAAAAAAAAAAAGACAAGATAGATGTCTGTGAACTTGATCCTGGAAAATGGAGCATTCTCATCACAAGGAGAAGCATATGCTACTTAATTATACACAAGACAGCCTTCCCCTCTTGTATTTCATTCAAGGGAGGGAAGCCTGAAGGATTAGTCACAACATGGCAGCAGCCCCACCTTCCATACCTTAATTAAGTGTTCCTCTCAGTGTGCTTCATGCCTTTGTTGTAGATATCTGTGTTCAAAACCAGTCTTTAACTAGAAAGAAAACACAGATAACTTTTTTTTTTCCACATCTAACTTTTCTGTTGGTTAGGTATGAATTACTTAGGAATTAATACAGATAAAATTAACTGTCGTGTTTGTTTCTTTGACTCTAGGCTATGGTGGCTTGTTATCCAGGCAATGGAACAGGATACGTGCGCCATGTTGATAATCCAAATGGAGATGGAAGATGTGTTACGTGTATATATTATCTTAATAAAGACTGGGATGCCAAGGTATGCACTAATTTCTTTCTGTATTTCTGGGGTTGGTTTGTTTGTTTGTTTTAACAGATATTTGCAAACGCACTTTTGCTACAGGTCCTTATTTCTGTGCCTTAGGTCTGTTCTTACGTTAACAGTGAGTATCCTTTGCCCCCTTGATTCTGCTGTTAGTGGGAGCAGGTGGAGATGAGGCGTTTATTTTTCAAGGTTTTGCATGATGCCAGCAGGACCTCTTTGACAGTGAGATCGAAGGGAAGTTGTATGCTTTTCATGTATGTTAGTTATACATACAAAGCTTGGATACTAGCAGATACTTATAAATACACAGTTATGCAACTTATTGTACACTATTTATATGGTAAACATACACATACATGTACACAAAGAAATAACGAACGATACTTGAAAGATAATTGCTTTTAGTTTGTCTCCTTATATTCCTGTTGAATCTTGGGTTTAGGGTTTGTGCAACTAGATTACTTAATTGAGTACACTTATAAAAAGAACTATTGTACAGTTTGGGAGCAGTTACCAACAAGCCAAGTGTTACAGTTATTGCTATATCGGTGTAGTTGAAAGCAGCACCAGCCTTTGTACTATTGCAGATACAGGGTGGAGAACAGATAAGGTTTTGTAACATAGTTCAAGTGTTCTGAGAATTTACTACCAGTGACTCGAAACTCTCCATACATGTACTGGCTATGACCAAGTAACTTTTTAATAAGGATTTTCCTAGTGATTCAGTGGGATTAGGTAGAGTTGAAGAATAGATGTATTGAAAGCATGAGAGAGTAATGCAATGATAGCTTTGTTTATTCCTTGGTTGCTGTGCAGTTAGCTACAGAGAAGCTTGTTCTCATTGTATATGGAAAAAAAAAACTCACCCAAACCATAAAACTACTGATATTTCTGTCGTACTTAAGTAGTAGTATGTGGAAGAGCACGTAAGCAGTCAGTTTCTGTGAATTGGCTGCCCTAGATAAGGATAACACAGATTGCAGCAAAGCTGGTTTTTTCCTGAGTGCTGTCCGTTTCTTGTAAGAGCTTGATGAGACAAGGAGACTGGTAGCATACTTGCATAAAGCTGGTAAATCAGAAAGCTGAGTCAGAAATGGATGCAATTAAAACTTTCTGTTTCTGACTTGGCCTTTGAAATGTCAAATTTGATCCTTTGATCCGAAAATAAATTACTAGCCTTTTTTGCCATGGTAGCATCCTTGCATATAAGTGCACTGGTTGGACTCAACATCTTAAAATGCAGTTTTGGGGCATTTTTAGTTGATCTGTGGTTTCTCTCCTAGAAAAAAATGAATCCATAACAGAGTGTAGAAGTCAAGCAAATTGCATTTTCACAGAAACTGTGGAAAATGTAATAACTGAAATTTATGGACAAAGGTATTTCATTGCCTGCAAAACCTATTTTGAACTACAAATTAATATATTACCAAGTATATTAGTTAGCAGAGAAAGAAGCTTGAAGTTTCTTTAGGAGAACAAATTGGTCTAAATTGTCATTTCTTGTTCATTGATTTAGATGACAATTAAAAATCAGTTATTTGTATCAATTTACTTTGGTAGTACTTACACTGTTACGACTTTCCCATGAAGGCCTATGGTGGCTATCTATAGTTAGATTTTACAACATCAATACCATCAGTATGAAGTTAATATGACTTAATTATAATTAACCACACTTACTTGTGCTGTTTTCTGAGCATGCATAGGTAGAATCAAAGAATGATTTTGGTAGGAAGGGACCCTTTAAAAGCCATTTAGTCCAACCCCCCGCCATGGGCAGGGACATCTTCACCTAGAGCAGGTTGCTCAGAGCACCATTTCAACCTGACCTTGAATGTTTCCAGGGATGGGGCATCCACCACCTCTGGGCAACCTGTTCCAGTGTTTCACCACCCTCACTGTAAACAATTCCTTCTGTTCAGTATGAATCTACTCTCTTTTAGTTTAAAACCTATCGCAAAGGGCCCTGCTAAGAAGTTTGTACTATCTTTCTTACAAGCCCCTTTCAGGTACTGGAAGGCTGCAATAAGGGCTCCCTGGAGCCTTCGCTTCTCCAGGCTGAACAAGCCCAACTCTCTCAGCCTGTCCCCATAGCAGAGGTGCTCCAGCCCGCGGAGCATCTTCGTGGCCTCCTCTGGACTCGCTCCAGCTGGTCTATATCCTTCTGATGTTGAGGGCTCCACAGCTGGATGCAGCACTCCAGGTGGGGTCTCACAAGAGCAGAGTAGAGGGGGAGAATCCCCTCCCTCGACCTGCTGGCCACACTCCTCCTGATACAGCCCAGGATACGGTTGGCTTTCTGGGCGCACTGCTGGCTCATGTTCAGTTTTTCGTCCACCAGTACCCCCAAGTCCTTCTCCTCAGGGCTGCTCTCTATCCACTCTCCACCCAGCCTGTACTTGTGTTTGAGATTGCCCCGACCCATGTGCAGGACCTTGCATTTGGCCTTGTTGAACTTCATGAGGTTCACACAGGTCCACTTCTTGAGCTTCTCCAGGTCCCTCTGGATGGCATCCCATCCCTCACGCCTGTCAATCCCATCACTCGATCCCACGGTGTGTGTCATTGATGAAGATATTAAACAGTACTGGTCCCGGTATGGACCCTCCAGGTACACCACTTGTTACGGATCTCCATCTGGACATGGAGCTGTTGACCACTACCATCTGGATGTGACCATCCAATAAAGTCCTCATCCACCAATCAGTCCCGCCATCACATCCACATCTCTCCAATTTAGAGAGAAGGATCTTGTGGGGGACCATGTCAAAGGCCTTCCAGAAGTCCCGATAGACGACATCTGTAGCTCTTCCCTTGTCCACTGATGTAGTCACTCCATCATAGAAGGCCGCTATGTTGGTCAGGCAGGACTTGCCCTTGGTGAAGCCATGCTGGCTGTCCCAAATCACCTTCCTGTCCTCCACGTGCCTTAGAACAGCTCCTAGGAGGATCTGTTCCATGATCTTTCCAGGCACAGAGGTGAGCCTGATAGGTCAGTAGTTCCCAGGGTCCTCCTTTCTACCCTGTTTAAAGGGTGCAGTTTCCCTTTTCCCAGTCAGTAGGGGCTTCACCTGACTGCTGTGACTTTTCAGATATCATGGAGTGGCTTGGCATCAGCCAGTTCCCTCAGGACTCCAGGATGCATCTTGCCAGGTCCCACAGACTTATGGGGCAGGCTCCTCAGGTGGTCACAAACCTGACGTTGTGTTACAGTGGGAGGGACTTTGCTCCTCCAGTCCCTGTCTTGCAGTCCATCCACTCCAGAGGTGTGGGAAGAGGGTTTTCCAGTGAAGACTGAGGCAAAAAACGTTGTTGAGTACCTCGGCGTTCTCCTTGTCCGTTGTTACCAATTTTCCAGTCCAATAGTAGGTCCAACTGTTTTTCAAAGCCTGGAAAAGATCTAATTTGAGCAGGAGTAATACAGATTCAAGCTTTAGTTGGAAGTTTCCTAGTCTTTCCTCATCTTAATTACAGAAACATAACAAAAGGTTATGCTGCTGCTAAATGAACCAATCTCTTTAAAGGGTAAGAATGAAACAAAGGGTAAAACTCAGAGGTGAAATGGAATATTTCTCTCATCTGTATTGGCATATTTTTAGCCACTTGTGTAACATCAGTCAGTTTTGTCCATTATTTACGTGTTGGTAATGCAGCTAAAGAACAACCAATCTAAAACCAGACCTTTTATTTAAACATGAATGGAGGTTTGACATTTGCAAGCATTCTGAAATTACTCAGTGAGAAATGTGCAAAATGTTTTGTTAAATGAAATGTATCAGCAGAAAAGCTGTAGATTCATTATAAGACGCTACGGACATTAAGGCTTTTATTTCAGTTCCAAGTGTCTGAAACCTTTTCAAAAGTGATAGTACTTTTAAATACAATGAGACATTGTTTTCAAGAACTGGTTTAAAATATTTAATTTGTAGGTAAGTGGAGGCATCCTTCGGATATTTCCAGAAGGTAAAGCCCAATTCGCTGATATTGAACCCAAATTTGATAGACTGCTATTCTTCTGGTCTGATCGACGCAACCCTCATGAAGTACAGCCAGCATTTGCTACAAGGTAGGACTAATGGACTCTATATATATTACATGATGCCTCTTTTACCAAGAAATTAGTAAATCCTTATGGGAAATGTGTGACATTATGAATTATTACCTGATCCCATGTCTTCCCATATACAGTTCCAGTTGCACTATGATAAGGTGGTGGGTTTTTTCCCCCTACTGATTGATTTGGCTTCTGCTGTGCTGCTGAGTTTGTGCCAATGACTGACCTCTCTCTCTTTTTTTCTTTTTTTTTGGTGGGGGAGGGGAGGTGGGGAGAAAACATCCCCTTGGGTGGGTAGGAGTGAGAACTGGAAACACCAGAAGTTTCTGAGCATGTACTTGGCAGAACTGGGTAGGAGCACACAGAGCCATAAGCAGACCCTGCCTTAACCAAGGGGTGTCATCTTCATTATTCCTCTGTAATGGCTTTACAATCCCCTCCCTTCCCTTAGTCCATAGCATCTTACTGTGTTACTGGAAGATTGACTAGGTATTCAGTTTTACATCCCTTCTTGTTGGGAGGGGGTTGTTAGAAAACAGTAATTTTCAATCTAGACAACCACATTCTAGTTTGGGAACTGGGAGAGAGCTGTGGGGCAGAAACAGCCATTGATAGATGAAGCTCTTCTTTCTCTGGAGTACTAGAGGAGTTGCTCCTAGTCTGAGTCACTGGGGAACTTATCTCCTTTGTTCCTCAGTGGAGGATGGTAAAGGTACCTGCATTCTCTGCCCCCACATCTTGAGTGCCATTTCCAGATAGAGTTAATAAGTATATCATTGGAGTCGTTGATCCAGACTTTCTGTTGCCCCTGTCGAAACCTGTTCGGATGACCAGTGCACTGAACATTCACTGGAGCTGTGAGATAACACAAGTACCTTGGCAAGAAGTAACTTGAAACTGCCATCAGCATGTCCTCTTGCAGCCTTCTGGAGGCTGTACTGCTCTCCCCTCCCACTCTGTGCTCTGAGCAGAGTCAGAGGGTGAAATGCCATTTACTAAAGCTCCTTAAAGTCTTTCTCAGCTGCTGGCATTTCATATTTAACTCCTCCACAGGCAATGGAAAACCAGAGGAGCTGTGTAAGAAGAGGTAGTTAATTTTCCCTTATGGCAAATGTCCAGAAAAAGAGGCTTTTGTGACTCAGTGATGGGCTTGACCAAGTGAAGTAAAGGGTGAGGTCACAGGGCAAGGTGATATGGACAGAGACTGTATTACAGGTTCTGGGCAAGAACTGTGATAGCAGCCCATCAGAAAAAGAAGTGTAAGCTTACAGCATCAGTGTCTCCCTTTCAATGACACTTCAGACAATACCGACCAATAGAAAATTTAAAAAAACCTGCTTGCTTTATGCTTGATAATCTTTCATCCATCACACTGCAGAAGCATCACCCGTTTAGGTTGTGTTTTATGTCAAGTGCTTCACTGTTTTTTTTCTTCGTAGTTCAGGAGTTCTTTTTCCATCCCTTTCCCTAGGTACGCAATAACAGTGTGGTATTTTGATGCAGATGAAAGAGCACGAGCTAAAGTAAAATATCTAACAGGTAATCTCTTGTTACTGTCTTCTGTTGGGTTTTTTTTTTTTCCTTTTTCTGGAAAAATAGCTAAGTAGTCCAGCCTCATCTCCTTGGCACACCTTATGAACAAGAAAGGGGAGCGTAACTGCAAGTCAGGTTTTACAAGGAAGGTGACCTGGTGGTGGAGCTGCTAGGCAGTGACTTGGGAAATCCAGGTCAGTGCCTTGTCCTGCTCACACTTCCTCTGAGACCTGAGGCTGCTCAGCATTTTTATGTGGGGGATACAGCTTCTCCCTAGTCTTGTCTCTCTAATAGGCGTGGAGGATAAATACACCAGAGACTGTGAGGCACTGCAGAACTGAGAGCTCTGGAAATAGTTTTAATCGAATACAGTGATTCAGCAAGTGAATAAACTTGAATCTCTCTATTGGAAAAAAAACAGAATTAAAAATCTGGAATCAAAGAATGGAGTTACTTCCTCCATTTCCAATTTTATGTATCTAGCATCTGTTTTCCTTTTCTGGCTTCTCCCTCAAGAGGAAGTTGATCTAATTTTCCTGTTCAAATTAGCATTATAAGGAGAAATGGCCTAAGACTTCTGTCACGCTTGTAATTGCCATCACGATTTTGTATTTGTTACAGTAGTTTGAAAGTGAACAAACATCAGGTGTGCCACAAACACATGCATGCACAGGGCCAGTTTCTCCGTGGTTTTGTCAAGAGCTCTGAAACCGACGGCATTGCAGACACGTGCCAGTCATTTCCCAGCGAGATTTCCTTGTGTTGCTGCTGGGCGTCAGGAGCTCCTGAGTGGCCCCAGAGCTATCGAGTGGCTGCAAAAGCTGCAGTTTAGCTCAGTCCCCTTGGTGCAGCCGGTGACTTGGTGCACTTCGAGAGCAGTAAGAGCAGCGCAGGTCCGCCCGCCTTGCCAAGAAACGCAGGGACAGTGCAGGTCCTGCCCGCCTTGCCAAGAAACGCAGGGAGTCCCTCCGCTCCGGCCAGGCAGGCTGTCCCGCTGCTCGGTGGAGCATGGCTGGTGAGGCACCGTGACAAATGCCGGATAACGCCTGCCTGATCTCCTCAGGAAGCCGTTCTCGCTGTCTGTAAGCCGGCCTTATTTGTGTCGCACGGTGTGACTGCGCAGCTCCTGGAGCCAGCCCTGCCGGGTCAGGGCTGCTTCGGTTGCTTCCGCGCAGCTTCGGCTGCTGTCCGTTCAGGGAGAGTGCAGGGAAGTGGTTCCGGTGGGCTTGTGTCTGCAGGGAATGTGCCCCCACCCCAATCTTCTCCAGGGTTCCCCTACGCTGGAGGCACTTAAGGAAGGCTGGGTTGGAAGGGCGGTCTAAATTTCATCGTCCGTTTCCCCGTAATTGATTTATATTACCATATTGTTGTGACTTCAGTTTTCATTTGCAATTAAAATCGCATTCTTTGCTCTCTATCTGCAGCAAGGTTGTGCGAGATGCTTTTTATTCTCTAGTGACAATAGAAGAGAAAATTATAGAATAAGATGTCATAAAATAGGAAACTATTCATTTGGGGCTGAGTGTCAGTCTAACAAGAGCCATGAGGAATAAGTATGAATTTTTCTTTGTGTCCGTTAATGTTTTGATAGTCAAACTTATATTTGGGGGTATCTGAAGCTATCTAGGTCAATTTTTAGAAAAAAGGACAGAAGAGGTGTGGGTTGGTAGGTGGAGTTATTTTTTTTTTTTTAGTAGTCAAATGTAATGTTGCATTTTAAAAATCCCTCAGAGTTTACTTACAAAGGTAAATACCCAGACACTCTGGATATTCTGAATTATACAGAATAAAGGGCAATATGCTCAGATTCCCAATTGGCTGTTCTTCAAACTTGCTGTCATAAAGGCTGCGATGATGAGCTTCGGAACTGCTTGTGTGATGTGAAGTATCCAGTTTTCTACTTGGGCACCCAAATACGTGCCTCCTTTCAGAGATGATGAGTGCCCATGGCTCGTTAACTTTACAGAGCGTGTATACAAAAATATCTCTCTTGCTGGGCAATACATACTAGACGGCCTTCAGAGCGCTGTCTTGAAACTGAACTGGAAGGTGATGTCACGATTCTACAGACTGTACTTTGATAAATGCTGAAAAAATAATCCCAATTTCTTTTTCATATTTCTGCAGGTGAAAAAGGTGTGAGGGTTGAACTTAATAAACCTTCTGACTCAGTTGGGAAAGACGTTTTATAAGCCTTTGATTTAGCAACTCCCCTTGCTATTCTCCCTGATAAATCTTGATGCTATCTATTAACTTTTGAATGTGAATAACAAGGTAAAGGAAAATCAACAACAAACCAACATTTTATTAAAGAAGCAAACAGTGTTTCAATGTTGCATCAAATAGAAGGTTCTTTGACTGCTGAAGCATTGTACTATGTGATTGTGACTCCAGGCCTGTGACTGCTTATGTGAAGAAGATAAGCAATCAGTAAGAAACAGCATATGCATCTGGACATAAATAAGTGCCCTACATAGAATTTGTTCATCCTTATATTTTGCCAGACCTGTCATCCAGCTGAATCCAATTCATCTCTCCCTTTTTTTATATGGTAAAAGTTTGAATTTTGGGTAATTTTTGTACGACCAGGTACAGTTTATCAAAATTGAGTCTTAAAAAAAAAGAAAAACTGAAAAAAAAATTACCGTATTCTCCAAAATAACATGGATCTATTTTTGTAAAACTGTTCATACTGTTCTCCTCTGCCATGAAAGACCTAATTTAATGTAAGGGTTGCCAGTAACTGATAATCACTTTAATTTTCTTTACACCTTAAGTCAGAAAAGGAGCACTTTAATTACCAGCTAAAAACCTGATTGTTTTATATCATATCTCACACTAATCTTAACTTTTAAAGATTGCTGCTGTATTGTTTTTTTTTGACTATGTCCTCTTGAACCTTATTAACAGAAGCAAATCAGTATCTCGCTATTAGTAACATTCAGTTTGTGGTTTTGTATGTTGAATCCACAGAGGGGAAGTTTCTGTCTCTTCTTTGTTTTTTTTGGTTTGGTTTTCTTGGGGGTTTTTTTGGTTTTGGGTTTGTTTTTTTTTTAAGTGACTGGCACTAAGTGAACTTGACACTATCGGTTGCTGTCATTGGCTTTGGGGACCTGGTAAATACCATCGAGTTACAAGAATATCCAAGGGCTTTCCTAGGCTACTAGAGGTACCCAGAACCTCCTTACGTACTTGACAGAAAATTTTGAGCTTTCTCCCTTTTCTAAAGAATGCTTGCCACCCCCTTTCCTTTGTATATAAGTTAATAGATTATCTGAAACTCACTTTTTTTAATTTCCTTTTCAAGTGTTGGTGTCCCATGCAATCTGTAAGTCAACACCTTGATCTATTATATAGCATCAAGGAGATGGTCAGCACACTGAAGCTGAAGTGCATCACTGTAGGCTCCTTGTGCAATACATCTTTAGGGTTTTCACTGTGCTGAAGGATTTCCCTGGAAAGGCACTGCCCTTTGATCAATACTGAGGTATATATTTAGTAAGAAGACATTTACTTTGCTTTTACATTGTTTTCATTTTATCAAGGAGAGGGGACAGCACAGAATAAATGTGAGCTGTGCAGAAACTTTGATATTCTTATTTTTAAGAAATGGATGGTTTGGACACTTTTTTCCCCCCCTTTTTTTTTTTCCCTGAGCTTTAAAAGCTTCATAAAACAAAAGCAAACCTATAAAAGACAGCATTCATATTTACAGGAGTTTGGGGGTTGATCAACTTACCCACTGCAGTTTTCTATCTGTCCCTTATTTCCTTACTTAGCCAAAACAATGTGAGTGTACAGAAATATTTCTGTATATATTACAACTTGTGACAATTTTAGCATCTGTATAGTTTGTATTCAATTAGAGACCTTTTCTATGGAAAGCTCAGTAATTTTTTATTAAAAAGATTACTATTGTTCATGTAAAACATGAAAAAGCTAATTGTTTAGTAACAAACTGACAGAAGGGGGAAAAATTCAGTATTGGTGTATCATTTAGGAGAACCAACAGAAATCCCAGTTTTGTTTTGATTTCGCTTTTCCTTTTTTGTAGTACGTTCTTGCCCTTTACCGTTCCACTTTTCTTCCCAGAAAAACAGACAGGATACCTTTACTGTAAGTGCCTCTGCCAACCTGGCCAAGGAGTGCAAATCTTTTGTTACTGTCTGGTCCGCAGTGCATTTAGGCTACCAGTGGAACAAGCAAAAAAAGCCGCCTCTTCTACTTCATCTTCTTTAGTACTACTCTGAACGGAGGTTTGGTTGGTTTTGGTTTAGAGACGTAAGCATAAGCCTTTAAACTCATTTCAGTCCCTCTGTAATTCAAACTTCTGCAGTTACGTGGCGTATCAAATTATAATCACTCCGTAGGTTTGTGCTTGCCAGACAGGTTTAAAAAGTGCTTATTTTTTCACTCCATGTAAGTCATTACTATAGGGTCAACAAATCAGTTCAGCCATTTCTTCCATGTCCTGTAGAAACTGTTCATTTCATGTCGGTTGAATATTCAGTCTTGAGCATCACCAAGCAGGTCCTTGTTTTAAAACTATTTTTTAAACTGTCTTATGATCTGTATGTGTCTAGTCCTGGTTAAAGATAAAGCTTCATAATGCTATTTTTATTCATGATGTTAGCTGGCTGTGAAATATGAGACCTTTATCTATAGCAGGCAAAGAAATTCAGGATTCATTTACAGGTTGCCTATAAAGTTGTGTAATTTGAAAAGCAGTGTTCATTATGAAAGAGCTCTCAAGTTGCTTGTAAAGCTAATCTAATTAAAAAAAGATGATGTATAAAGGTTCTTGAAAACTATGTGGTTATTTGGTAACTTTTCAAAGTACTCCATCGCAACTAGTTTATAAATGCCCCCTGATAAAGGGATTTTTGGTGGTTGGGGGGGGAGGGGGGTGTGTTTTATTGGGGGTTTTGGTGGGTCTTTTGTTTGTTTTTATTGTTTGTTGGTTTTGGTTTTTTGTTTAGTTTTTTTAGTCAGAGCTATTTCTACCCTGGAGAAGGATCTGGGTGGTGGTGTTTTGGGGGTTTTTTTTGTGGTTTTTTGGTTTTGGGTTTTTTTTTTTTTCTTCAGACTGCCCACAGTCACCTGGATGTGGTGATCACTTTCCTGATGACTTTCTTCCCCAAAACCAGCACCAAGTTTAGGCTGCCTGGAGAGTGAAGATGGACATAGAGGCAGCTCTAGTTTTTTCACCACTTTGACACCTACATGAGGTACAAAATGAAAGTCATCTTCAAACAGGATTTGTAAGGTTTCATGGGAGCTCTTCAGTTTTATGTGACTCCCAATGAATTATGAACCCTTTGAAGATGCCAGAAGAATGGTAGAGTCTGCAGATTCATCACAGAGTGGAAGGGGTTGGAAGGGACCTCTAGAGATCATCTAGTCCAACCCCTCTGCCAGAGCAGGATCACCTGGAGTAGATCACACAGGAACAAGCCCAGGTGGCTTTTGAAAGTCTCCAGAGAAGGAGACTCCCCCACCTCTCTGGGCAGCCTGTTCAGTGCTCTGTCACCCTCACAGGGAAGAAGTGTTTCCTCATGTTCAGGTTGAACCTCCTCTTTTTCAGTTTATGGCCATTGCCCCTAGTCCTGTCTCTGGACACCACTGAGAAGAGCCTGGCCCCATCCTCCTGACATCCACCCTTTAGGTATTGATAAGCATTGATAAGATCCCCCCTCAGCCTCCTCTTCTCCAAGCTGAACAGACCCAGCTCTCTCAGCCTTTCCTCGTATGGAAGGTGCTTTGGGCCCTTCATCATCGCAGTGGCCCTGAGCTGGACCCTCTCCAGTAGTTCCTTGTCCTTGAACTGCCAACCCATACACAATGCCACACAATTTCCCTAAGGTTTCTGATGAGTTGTAATGGCTGTGTGTTAATCAAGGAGACACCGTGTGGCTGTGCTTCTGCCATTGCTCTATTGGGAAGCCCTCCCACGTGGTGTGCTTGTCTGTCTTGCTGGTTTGGGAAGAGTTACCGGGCTCTCCGGCTGACTCTGCCAGCCTTAGTGCACCTTTCATGGCACTTGGGTACCTGCTGTGCTCGGTTCTGCTCTAAGGGAGTGGTTCTTGCCAGTGTGTTAGGCTGAAACCTCACTGCAGCAGCACTGAGCTGATCCCCAAGTGCTTTGAGGCTTTTTCCGTGCCTCAGTGCTGTGTAACTTCTGGCATCTTCTCTTGAAACAGCTTCTTACCTGTCTCTGTTTTACATGGAACAAGGAAGAAGCTATTCTAGCACTAGAAACCATCCCGTGTAGACCTGACTCTGTTTTTTAATTACCACGCTGTTGAATATCACAATATTCAGGGGGGTTGTTTTGCATAGTAAAGTCAAACCCTGCACTGGGGAAAGATGAAGTCCCTCTTGGGTGTTTTCTCAAAAGAAAGACACTTGCAAATCTGAGAGGAAGCTAGCTGACAGCCTGTATCTTGCCTAAAGCATCTGGCTGTGCGCTGTAAGAGGGGAAAGATCACATCTCTAAGTCATACTGATAAGTATAATCAGGCTGGGAAGTACCATTTTTGTGCTTGCTGAACGCTCTGAAGGAGAGGGGAGAGTGCTAAGTGGCAGTAGCAGACTCAAAAGTCTCAAAAACGCTGGAAGTCTAGGGTGGGTGCCTTGCCCGCAGGCATACAGAGGGGCAGATGGCTGCATACGCTTGCAAATAAGGAGTGGGAATTCTGAGTACCGAGCAGCAAAGGCTTGGAAGAAATTCACAGGACCTGTCTGGATTTGGATCTCATCTGCCTGGTTTTTGGTTTTTTTTTTTTTTGGGGGAGTGCATATGGATCTGCAGAAAGTTGGGTCTCCTATCGTCAGCTTTCATAAAAATTACTCGCTTAGCTCATTTTTGCAGGTGTAAAGCTGGAATGTAATTACTGCAACTGCGCTGCAGTCTGTCTGCGCTGTTGGGCTGCTGCTGTGTGCCGAATCGGGGTTATCAGACCCTGTCTGGGCATGTGTGGATAGCAGCAGAAGCAGGTTCAAGGTCCTCTGTCCTACCAGGCAAAACTAGTTCCAGGGAATTTGCTCTGTTGACTTCTGCTACCACTTACCCAGTTCCATCAAGCTTATCCCCACAGCTTTGAAGTTGAGTGAATATACAGCACACTTATCCTTTTCCTGAACTAAGAGGGAAAAAAAAAGCGCCCTTAGCTCCCAAATGGACAAGCTGGTTACTAAGAGTTGGCTCTAAAACTGGAAGGGGCAGATGAGGTGCAAATCACCAACCCTTTGGGGATAGACTCAGGTCTGTGTAGCAGGACAGGGAGGAGGGAATAAGTTGGATAGAAATGGTAAAGTAGGATGAGAAGAGGCTGATCCATCAGACCAAGATAAAACATGTGAGTGGGGTGGGTATGAGGAATATGGGACGTGCCAAGTAAAAACACGCTACAGGTGCCTGGTTTGGGGAGGAACATGAAGTGCAAGGAGAAAGAATACACCATGTGCTTGCCTCAGGGAAGACAGTTGTTGATGCGTCCCATCCATCCTTTCTCTGCATGGATGGGTGTTGCAAAATAGCGTATTTTTATCTCTGAAAATGAGAGTTTTGTAACTTTTTGCTTGAACCAGGTGTTGGTTTCCTTGTCTGTCTTCCAGTTTTAAGTTGTTGGGACTTCAGGG